GTGTGGCTACTTCTCGGTGAATGTCAAGATGATTTAGCTGCTCTTCTGCTCGCCGTCTGCCTCTGAGCACTGGCCCTCCAATCACCGCTCTGGGCTGTCTGTTTTGTGGCCCTCCGAAGCAACAAATGAATTTTAAATCTGCACTGGGCAAACTTTGCACACTGGCAAGAGGTTGCAGTGTGAAATATGAGGCCGGTGAAACCCAGAAATCCTCCAAGGTAACATCAGTAAAGTGTCTTCTTCTGTGGTGTCTGCTCAGGGTGAACGAGGCACCGTAGAGCAGCTTTTGTGCTCTGTCTGAATTTCACTGGTCAAACCTGGACATTCTCTTGACTTTTGCAGCAGGTGTACAGTTTCATAGACGTAATCACAAACATGGGCCTTTAACTGATACAGGAAACATCAATGCCGACATAATAGGTTATGTACCAAAAACAATGCTTTTAATAACGACTTACATTGAGGGAAGGAAACATAGTTTTTCAAAATAAAAGCACTGATTTATATCACCAAAGTAGTTTCCTTCTCAATTGTTCAATTGTTCATACACACGCAACCAAACAACAACTTTGCTATAATACAATATGATCAATCAAAAATATCTGATTAGTAAAGAATGTTGAAACGTAAAGACTATATTTAACTTTTTTATACTTTTTCAATACTTTTTGTCTTGCCAAAAAAGTATTTAGGGCCAATAAACATCTCTGTATAAACTCAGTTTTGATACATGAGTTTATATACACAAACATACTTATTATAAGTATATTAGGAGATAGAAACATGATTTTCCCCCACAAAAAATTGTTTTACATAACCAAATTGTTCAATTGTCGTTACACATACAACTGCACTTCGTTTTGAAATTTGAACAAATAATAATGAAGAAGAGAGAGAAACTGAGCAATCAGACATTAATACTTTTTGACACATATTTAAAAAGGTTAGATACCCAGCTCTAGTGTTGATTGTGAGTCTGTGAGCACACAAAGGTGTCGCGTTGTCTTTCTTGCCAGCGAAGGGTCTATGTTGCTAACATATTGTGTGTGTGTGTGTGCGTGTGTGTGCGCAGGGACGCCAGTTGGGCTAACAGCTGAATCATGGCTCAGCCGCTGCCCCTCGTAGTCCTTGGCAGTTAGCGGTGTGAAAAAGCCTTCTCTTTGAGGGCATTATATAGATTAATGTGCTGTGCCTCGGGCAGAGACACACACACACCTCGCCAGGGAGGGATCCTGATGGTGTGTGCGTGTGTGTGTCTACAGAAAGGAATCAGAGGACTACAGCAGCATAGGGTCGTCGAGGCTTAAGTGTGTGTACATGTGGACGTGTGTGCGTATTTGTGATATCGTGCATATGTGTGTGGATGTGCGAAAAGACAGTTTGGTGTTAACAAGAGACAAGGGGAAGGTACTGTGAGGAAGCTGTGTGTGTGTGTGTGTGTGTGTGTGTGTGTGTGTGTGTGTGTGACAGAGGGAGATAGTGGCCATTTGAAGTGGCATTCAAATCTATTCTAGTTGATTTTTTAAATATGTTTTCATGATTTGAATAGTAATTCAGTGATATGAAAATATATATAGTATGGAATAAAGAAGGCTTGTGATCATAACTAATCATGTCTAATTGGAAATATTAAACTTGTTTCTCATATGATATCTCTTTGTGACTTATCCTACGAATGTCAATCAACACGTGTAATTTCCCGCTCTTAACGGAATACAATTTGAAAGTAACCCTCCTAGCCCTGGGATTAGACACAAATATGTCAGTGCTCACTTCTCCTAGTTATATCTGTAAACAGTTTATAATAACAGCCTGTTTAATATCACTTTTTCATCCAAGAAACGCAGCTGAATTCATAGCTATTAGAGTGTACCCTTGCTTTATGCTTCATTAAACTGAGTCTGTATGTAATAAATAGACTACAATTCCAGTGTACTAAGCCTTCTTCTTTTTAAGCACCTAAATAGGAATCTTGGGATTGTGCAGGGGCATCTGTGGAGCGTATAGCTTTCCATTAAGGTATTTTTACGTGAATCGGAGGGCTGTTTATGAGGCCTGGCTGACCTGACGGAGGCATCGGCTGGCCCTGTGTCTCTCTGTCTATCTCACGCTGTCTTACACTGACTCAGCCTTAGGGTTAACATAAGGGTGGAGCTGATGTACAGTACAACAACAAATACACAGAGCTGCTGGAAATGCAAGTGGAAAAGTACAACGCTGCTCCATCTGAGGTTAAAGCAGAAAGCGTGTAGGTTTAGTGAACAGGACACTTAACAACTTGTAAAGGCTTCTCTCTGTTTCTCTTTCGCTCGCTTGGGTTAGCTCATATTTTGTATGCCTGCCTTTACCTTATTTTCCACACTTTGCTGAGAAGTATGAGGGAGATTTTCCTTATCAGGATTTTAGCACATTCCATTCAAGATTAGGCACATCTGTTGTTTTGTGCGTCAAAGTGTGTGCATGTGACTTCTGAGATGATTTCTGTGTGATTTTCCTGCCTGTAGTCTCAAGACATACACTTGTATAATGTACATATATGTCACTTATGTTTGTGCGTGCACATGTGTGTGTACTCTCTCCATCCTGCGGTCTAAATAATCTACGTTTGTCTGACAACGGCGTCAAGTCGTGGAGGTGCACATATGCAGAAAGCTATTTGGAAAGGCCTCCTCGTAGCTGTCAGCTTTTATTATGCGCTGAGGTGTCATGTTTGTTAGGAAGCTGAGTGCAGATGGCAGAGTGGAAGAAATGGATCACTAATTTTAACAATGATTAATGAACAGAGATGGAAAATGAATTACATCGGACTATTGGAGGCAAGGAATATTTTCTCTGAAAATGTTAACTTCGGCTGCCAGGCAGCCGGCCGTGTTGTGGGAGTATATTGAGGAGGGTAAAGGGATGTGTGTGTGCATGCATATATGGATGTGTGTGTGTGTGTGTGTGTGTGTGTGTGTGTGTGTGTGTGCGTGCAATAAGGTGCAATTTTTCCCCCGCATCTTTTGTAGAATCAACACTTCACTGCTCTTGCCTATTACTTTACTGTTCGCCTGCTTAAACACTGCCGCCTTTATACACATTGTTTCCCCCCTTATGTGTGTTGCACTAGCAGTTAAGGTACACACTGTTTAATAAGGTAAACACAGGAAAGGTTAGACTGTCTTAAAATGTTAGCTATTTTCATTACTCGCAAGTGTGCCTTCATATCAAATCACACGTGTAGCAGATTCGATCAAGTGTCAGTAGATTTTTCGCTTTTCCTCTGGAAGAACAATCACCTGCTTTATTTTCCTTTCAACGCAGCTTGCGAGCTATTTTCGTGACTCCATATTGACTTTAGATCATGAAACAAGCAATAAAGTATCATTTAGAAAACGTTGAATTTTCAAGGCATAACAACCAGTGGCAAAGTCCAGAAAATCAACCGGATACATTATTATTTTTGACAGTGAGAATCCGTGTGTTTACCTTTCATACATCTTTATTACAATGTGATATGGCATTACGAGAAGCAGATGTGACATTCCTCATTGCGTGTGATCTGAGAAGAAATAGAGATACTTGACTTTCTCCTGTCACCCCCCCCCCCCCCCCCCATAAAAAAAGACACTTTATATCTGTGTCTCTGTCAAGGTTTGTTTGTCTGGTGGGCGGCTGGTGCAACACGGTTTGATAGGTAGATGGGAACTATTTTGAATTTAATGAAGGGCCTGATGGGAAATGCGTAAAGGGAGAAAACGGAGCAACTTCTAGCAACATCTTGTGTGTGTGTGTGTGTTTGTGTATATGTGTGTGTGCGTTCAAGGGAGAGAGAGAGAGCGAGAAAGAGAGAGATCTCAGGTTACAGCAGCATATGCTAAGCACTCAGAAAACATACACAATGCCTTTGGTGAACAAGGTAGTCAGTGTGCCCTTGGGAGCCAATTTAGATTGTGACTTAAGGCAATGTCGTGGCTTTGTGTGCGAGCGTGTTTGTTTTTGTGTTCCCCGAATGGGAGTTTTTTCACTCTCGATGCTTCATTGAAACAGTAGTGGTGGGTAGATCTGGGTGGGCCTCCTGCAGACCCTCCACATCTGTGCTCCCCCCCATCTCCCCCTGTTTTAGGACTGAGCCAGTTTCTCCACGCCTGGCTGCCTCTCCACATCCAGAATAGCCATGAGGATTTGTTGGACTCATACATCTTTGCCATTGAATATTTTAGATAATAATGTGCAGCACTAATGAGTCACAGAAACTAGGGTTAGGGTTACAGAAACTCATGGAAATAAAGGACTGTATTGCTCAATCTGTGACTGACAGGTGAACTTTAGGAAAAAGCAACACAGCATTGACGGTTTAGCACACAAATGTTTAGGTCAACAGACAAAACCAAAATCTCCACGATTACCATCAGAGCAAACTTCAGGCAAATGTCACACCTTTGCCTGAAGTGTAGAAAATATATCCTGTTCAATTTCATAAATCTTCTAATTGAAGCTAGTTGCAGTCGGTTTCTCAAAATCTCTCAGTGAGGCCTCAGCCTAAATGCCACTCACAGAGTTACATGCCATTTTAAAAGGGAGCAGCAGTCTTTTTACTTCGCATACTTTGAGTCGGCTTGATTATTTTTTCTGGCTTTAAGCGGCGGGGCTTCAAAGCTGGATCAGATAACATCCTTTGCTGTTCTGCAAAGGCTCCTCTCACTGTTCTGTTTTCTATGAACAAAGATTGTTTTAGACTAACAAATGATAAACCTTGGACGTCTAACTATTTTATTCTCCCTGTCTTAAACTGGATATTAAAGTGTCAAATTGCCAGTTAAAATACTAAGAAAGAGCAATCACAGTTGGATGTGCAAATGACATCACATCCTCACAGGAAGTCCTGAGGAAAAATAAAGATGTGGGGTGGAGGGGGGGTTGGTTATTGGGTATTTCTCTTCTGTCGCCAGTGTTGCAAACTTGTCAAGCTTCAAATGTGGCTGACTGTGAATTTCCTGGTGTGTGTGCTTTGTTTACAGGCTCTTGTCGTCCCACCTTCTGTGGAGCTGTCGGTGCTCTTCCTGACATCCGGCGTTCATTGGAGCAGCGGCAGTCACACAGGTACGATCACACCAATTGATCACAGGAAAGGGGAGGATATTAAAGATGTCTGTCACGCTTACACACACTTTTGTTTTCATTTAAACCTTTGTTCAGCCGGGGGAAAGTCAATTGAGCGTGCACTTGTTTAGCAGTGCTATGCTTCTCAGTTGCATTACTTAGACATTCGGAACCTGTTACCTTCCCATTACAAGATCTGTTGGTGGCTCACCCTGGAACACTTTAAAGTCATTAAAGAGAGTAAGCTTTCTCAATAATCACCCATCTTTTAGGCCAGATCAAATGAATGGGCAACCCTAGCAACAAGCGACTTGCATACACTAACCCTAACCTCATATCGTAGACCTACAAGAGCAATTTGGGCTAAAGTATCTTGACCAAGCACACTTAGGCTAGGGATCAGACCACTGACCGTCTGAATGGTAGACGCTCATTAACCATTCCCCTCAGCCGTCCACTGACACTTCAACTGAATGTCATAAACTGTACTTTGAAGGTGGAGTAGGCATGTCTCTACAACCAACGCTTCGCTAACAAGTTTAATCTAACATTCTAAAAACAAGACGCTTTTCTACAGTACCACATGTGACGTAGGTGCCACTCAGGGCATGGCATATCTATTGCTTTGCAAAGTCACTGAATGGACTATGATTCGTTTAAATCCGAACGGATGCAATAAACGTACTAGTCCAAGGGCGCATCCCGTTGTTGTTTTGTTTTTTATGCAATGTTATCAAATTGGTTATAATGAATCTTTGTGGTATTAGTAGCGACTACAACATTTCTGGTATAGTGACAAACCTAATGTATATATGGTGGCCCTGAAGTGCAGGTGAAAACAACATTTCAGAAAACACCACAGCATTTCACAAAACTCTACAGCGTTTCAACTTATACGGAAAGGGTATTCCTTTAGGGAGAACACTTCTTGTTTGTGATTGGACAGAGCCAGCCAGAGAAGCACTGCTGTGATTGGTTGTTTTTGCTGCCAGTCAAGAAATGACGCCTCGTGATTGGTCAGCACCCGACAGCGCAACATGTCCCGAAACGTCAGCCGTCAGCTGTTAGCACACAGAGCTCACAGCTCCTACTGGACAAAAGTTAAACATGAACAAACCACAGACTGTCTGTGTCATGGTGAATACAGTCGCTGCTTTATTTATGTCTGTATGCCGTTGTTGTGAGTTTGGACTGAGCAGCTATAGAGGCCTGTACTACGAAGCCGGTTCAACCTAACCTGGATATGTTTGAGTTTGCCGGTTAGCCTAATCCAAAACATACGCGCTCTCGCTAAACGGTACTACGACGCGGGTTATCAAGTGGATCGCTCAAGCCAGCCGTGTCCTATCTAGTTAGGTGCGCGTTCACATGAAAGGGGTGGTATTTGGAGCATTCGACCAATCACAAACATGGAGAAGCGTACTGACAGCGCAGCATCATACTTCCTGAATGAAAAGTCAACTATATAATTAGACAAATATGAAGACGTTAAACTTTAAACATCCATGACTTAAACACTTTATCCAGGATAAAAGCCACATAGCTGCACCTGCAAGGTGAATACAGCTGGTAACAGAACAAGTGTTTGAATGCGTACATTAACAGGTTTATGATATCACTGCCCCGTCTGACACGAGTGGATCTGACTTTAATTACATTTGTCTCGAGTGTTTCGTCAACTTAATGTGTTGCTTAAAATAACACTTCTGCATGCAGTATGTGACACTGTGAGTGTTGCACGGCCAGATACGGCTCAGCTGACTCAGATAAGGAGATATATGATACATTATGAAGTGATATGCCGCGGACTGTACTTAATGTTACTCTGATCCGGTTACTTATGTTGTGGCAGATATTTAAGTAAGCTTTCTTAACGCTAATGTTATAATAGTCAGATTGCTCTGAAGATGGAGGTGATATTCTATTAATGTTCACGTTCACACAGTCGGTGATTTTTGCCGGCCGTCTTTCCTGCGACGGCAGCTTTTCTGTATTTCCTTTCTCCTGTAATGTGACTTGATGGCTTTAAACTCCGCACACTGAGCTCTGATTGGTCAGCAGGCGGTGCTTTCACTGAGTTGAGCTCTTAGCCTGCAACCTAACCTGGTCCCGACCAGGTTAGCCGCACAGCATAAGTTACCATGGAGATCTAGCCTGCTAAAAAGAGAACCAGCTTCGTAGGACCGGAAAGCCGGAGTTTTCCCTGAAGTTAGCCGGCTAAGTGAAAATCCTGATTCGTAGTATACCCCCCAGGTTAGTTTAGCCTGATCTCCATTTAGAAAACACGCATTTTAAAAGGTTTTTCGCCTGCCGTCTGTCTGCAGACTTGTCACAGCATTAATTCATGGTTTTTACTAACCGGTATCAGTATGTTGTTACTTCGGCATCATTTTGAAACGTGTATTACAATTAAATCACGGTAAAATATGTTCATTTTGTTGAAGTCTACCATAATATTTACATGGATATAAGACCCGAATATTCGCATCGCTCTAATCGCTTGAGTTTCAGGTTTCACCGCGGCTGTCAGCTGTGTTTACTCCTGTCATTCAAACAAGACGCGCTGGAGAGGGGGCGGGGCTTATATCCATGCAAATACTTTGGTAGATACCAACTACAACAACATTAACATATTTGACCGTGATTTAATTGTAATACACGTTTCAAAATGATGCCGAAGTAACAACATACTAATACTGGTTTGTAAAAACAATGAATTAATGCTTTGACAAGTCTGCAGACAAGACGGCAGGCGAGAAACCTTTTAAAATGCGTGTTTTCTGAATGGAGATCGGATCGATCAGGATAAACCAACCTGTAGCTGCTCCGTCCAAACTCACAACAACGGCATACAGACACAAATAAAGCAGCGACTGTATTCACCATGACACAGACAGTCTGTGGTTTGTACTTGTTTAACTTTTGTCCAGTAGGAGCTGTGAGCTCTGTGTGCTAACAGCTGACGGCTGATGTTTCGGGACATGTTGCGCTGCCAGGTGCTGACCAATCATGAAGCATAATTTCTTGACTGGCAGCAAAAACAACCAATCACAGCAGTGCTTCTCTGGCTGGCTCTGTCCAATCACAAACAAGAAGTGTTCTCCCTAAAGGAATAGAGTGGCGAAGTCCCTCCCTTTCCGGGGGACCTCCATGGGACCTTATTTCTGAAAAATCATGTATTGAAGTCAATGGGGAGAGAAAGATTATCGTTCGATCCCGTTTGAATTGGGCCACGAATTACACATAGGCCTATGATGTTTGTCAATTTAAAAGATAATTTTGCAAGTCAAAAAAATAAAAATGTGTCGTAAAACTGTGAAGTAACACTTTTGTTTGTGTGAAACCGCTCAATTAACTACATCTCCCATCTCGCACCACACACCAAGACGGCCGTCACGTTGGCACATTTCACCTCTTTCTTTCAGAATGAGGCGGAAAGTATTAAAAGAGGTGAAATCACTCCAAGTCTGGGCACGTTGAGAGCTGTACATACACACAAGGGGAGTTAGTCGGTTCCATAAGAGCCAGCATGCGGGACCGGGATTCTGGGATCTGTAGTCTTTCTAGTTGAGTATTTTTCATAGTCTTATATTTCAACAGTTTTAAGACAAACTGACTTTTTTGACATGGAAATGATTTTTTAAGACTGACAAACATCATATGTGTAATTCGTGGCACAATTCAAACGGCTCGAAAGATAATCTTTCTCTCCCCATTGACTTCAATGCATACTTTTTCCGAAATAAGGTCCCATGAGTCCCACCGGAAGGGGAGGGACTTCGCCTCTCTATACCCTTTCCGTATCAGTTGAAATGCTGTGGCGTTTCCTGAAATGCTGTTTTGACTTGCACTTCAAGGCCACCGTATGTAGACATTAGGTACAATATAACCAACCTTGCATCTCTATTCTGTAGTCCAACATTTTCAGAATTGATTTTGTTCAGGATTGTACCCTTGTTTATGCCGCACACAATACAATAGAAGTTACCATACCTTATGTTATTCTGTGGTTTCACCTCTTTTCCACAGATGTACATCATGTTAGGACAGGAATGTGATTCAGCATTCAAATCGCGTTTAGGACACAAACTGCAATATGAGCACTCATGGTACTGGTGTAGGATGTTTTTATCTTGGTTGTCAGGCCACATATGTTTGCACTTCTGGTAGCAGTAAGACCTGCAGGATATGTTGGCAATGTCACAATCTGACACATACATAGACACCTCTGAATCATGTTACTGCTGCTTATGCTAGTCAGGGTAAGGGTCCTTTTATGGAATACAAGCCCAATTTCCAATTTGCCTTTCTATATGAGAGTTTGTTATAATCCCCTAGAAGTTCACCATTCAATATTTTTAAGTAAATACATTTATAAAAATAAACTCAACAAAAGAAATGCTGAAATTCAACACTGCAGTGTTTTCGGGGAAGCCTTATTATTGTTCACAACCTGCTTCCACCAGAAAATAATATGAAACGCAGGAGATATGAAACGATTAAACGTATCTGACACATTGAAATAACAGATGCGGCCTACTTAGTTTTACAACCTTATTTTCACAAGCTACTTGCTCCAAATACTAGACGTCCAGATGCAGAACTATTGAGATGATTATCCTAAAATATTAATTTGCCATTCATTAAAGGCTAGTGTGGTGCCCCGGCCTAATTTGGACGTGCAACGTTCACAAATGTCTTAGAATGTATTTAAAAATAACTGTTAAACATGTTGTTTAAATACATTTATGTATGTGTCTAACTATTACTGTTTTGCCAGTTACAACGCATGCATGTATTAACTTAATGAAAATGTAAGGAATATAATTGAGTCAATATATAGTCCCAAAAAGGGAAATGGATATGTTTTTTTTAAATATTCAATTTAGTCTTCATTTCAAATTAGCAGCATGAATCATTTGAGAGATACTAAAAAAAAATTCTTGTTTATAAAGAATTATGACATAAATGTTACCATAGTGAAACGATAGATATATTTT